AACGTTTAGGTTTTACCGTTTTAACCTAAACGTAAAGTAACTAAACTAACTACGTACTACTTACTTACTACTAATAATAGTAGTACATAGAATACTATATATATATATATATATATATATATCAATACATGAGTTTAAAATTAACACACACACACACACACACACGTGTCCAAATACAAACTTGACCATATATTTCTTTGATGGTATGTACTTTTAAAGGACAGTCTGTCTGAAAAGGATTATATCTGGATATTGTTTCAGTGTTCTTGTAGTTACTTTCATCACATCCACAAGACTTCAAAACATCATCCAAGCTTAACTCTTTCCAGGTGAACTATCCATTTAGAAGAATACACCATGAATCAACCTCTACCTGTGAAATCTTCTAAAAATTACAAACCTGCTTTAATGAAATTGCAGTGTAAGAAAAACAGCTTTCCTACCAAAAAACATGCACATCACACAGATTGTTATTATAAAAAGAAAAAGGTACTGTTCTTCCTCCAACAGCAAAAATCATAGTCTAGAGGTAGGTACAATAAACTCTTTCAATAACTTATAACCATGTGTAGAAAAGAAAAGCTTCACAAAGTGTAAAGTGGTTAATTATGAAGAGCCAAATAACTTAGAATAAATACTTGATAAGTTTAGTAGTAGTTTAATAAGGTTCCTATAATTATTATTAATAAGTTGTGAATTCTTTGAAATTAAGCAAATGAATGAACTAAAACTCTCTCATGCTATATCAAGTTCCTTTTTAAAACATCATAATCCAATAGATTATGGAAACAGTTATACTCAGTTTACCATTAATACAATAATAATATACATTAAAACCCTTTTCACTGTTTGTGTATTAGTAATAATCTGCTGATATACTAAAATGTCTAACCTTTAAAACAGTCCTGAACAAAAACATACAAGTTATTGTAATAAGATATAGCAAATTAAATATGTAATATGCTTAATTACTTACTCTGTACTTGACAGTGAATCATCAGGTGATGATACTACCACCAGGTGGCTATCAGACATAATTAGCTGGTCTACACTTAAAAAAGGTCTAAGACCTAAAAGACACACAGCCTCTTCTATTTGGGGTGCTACCTGGATAAAGAAGAATCTTTTAATCACAGAATAAAATATCATTGACCATTAAAAACATGTATGATTATTCATTAATAATGAACATATAAGAGTTAATAAATATACATTACACAATAATCAAAATTATACAAAGTAACATTATATAAGTGTACTTAACTGCATCTATAGACCTTACAAAAGCATGACTTACATCACATGACACCTGTTTTTGGTGCCAAGACGATATGAAATGAAAAGCATGGTTATGAAAATAATGGCCTCTCAACAAGTACAGTTACCAGTGAAAAATACATTAAAATCACCATTTTGAACTGATGTGAATCACTTGAATAAAGAATGTAAAGCTTTCTTTGATGAGAATATATGACCCATATTCTCCCTAAAGCAATGTTCAAGAATTAAAAGGCACGAAATTATCTAGGACTAACATGTCAGATTAACAGCACCTAGACATTTACAATTATCTAATAAATTTATATGAATCTGGCACTCGGGGTGAAAGGTAAATCATTATAAAAACAAGAGTAAGTACAACCAAGTCAATGCTCATTATGCCTTGCTGTATTGTTTGCCAGATCCACTGCTAGTCTATATATATACTGTTATTAACAATACAACAGTGTATTCTTCTACCAGAGATACTTTCTAAGCAGTATACTGCAAAATCAGTAAATGTATTAGTTCAAAATTTTCCATCATATTGTTACGTCTCAGTTTTTTTAATTGATTTTCCGTAACTTCGTACCGAC